GGGGAGCGGCAGGGAGAGGGAGAAGCAGGCTCCCACTGAGCAGGGAGCCCGATATGGGGCTCGATCCCAGGACGCTGGGATCATGACCTGAGCCAAAGGCAAATGCTTAACTGACTGAGATACCCAGGTGCCCCTAAATATAATAGCTTCTAGATACCTTCTACATATTAGTATTATCAAGTCACATATAGAAAATATACTAATCTGAGTTTTAAAAATTTAATATAAAGACCTATATTTTGGAAGAATTTATTTTATGTACTAGGAGGTAATAAGCCTGTATTTCTTTTGAAATGTTGTATAATTTATGATTATTTTTTACTTAATTCTGAGTAACATTCTTTATATCACCACTCAGATTCTACTATAAATGTGTTTATACATTTTCAATATTTAACTGATTTCTTACCAGTTCCTTAGTTCCTCTCAAGTATCATTACTAACATATTACTAAAGATACCTAATCAGATTCTATATATTATTATACAAACATATAATTCATATAATCCATAATAGTTCTTTGTAAACTGGGTACTTCAAATATGAGAGAATATGTTTTTTTGCACAGACAAGTAAAATTGCAGTGGGTAAGTATATATGAAAAAAAGAAAGCATCTATCATAAACCACTTCTATCATCACTTAATAGTATAACTCTTTCATATCCCATATTATATTTGAGCATAATACAGTGGATCCTAGAAATGACTCTGTTTTTACAAAAAGATGGGGACAATGGATAGATCAGAATAAAAGCAATAAAATTCACCTGACTAACCCATGCTACAGTGGTAATTGTTAAACAGCAGCCTAGCAGGTTTTGAACAAGGAGATGTTTTATTTCTCTTTCCCAGCAATTTTTCCCCAACAAAAACTAATAACACCACATTATATTTATAGAGTATTTTACAAATTCCAAAACACTCTCCCATGCTTTTCTCTGTTTGATGTTCTTAAAGGTATGTCGGATCAAGAGAAGAGAGTTGAAGAGAAGCTACAGGGTTTGGTTCAAGGACTGAGAGCTAGGAAGCCAGACGTAGTCTGGCTCATGTTTTATAATCTAGTACTTGCTTCTCTGGAACTGACACTATGTTGCAGTGTTTTGCATGGTTCTGAAATACTAGAAATTATTTTTCTTAATTTGAGCCAATGCTTTTGCATCTTGACAGCAGATTTCTTGTTCTCCTGCCTGTTGGTTTCAGCAGGCACTAGTTTGACCAGTCGATATACTCTGTCATATATCCTTCTTTGCATATGCCAAAGAGTCACTGTGCTTGGTGACATGTCCCCACCCCTGCTTGGCACCAGCTCCACTTGATTATGAAGATCCCACATGAAATGTTTTCACATGAATTTTGGCTGCAGGATAGGGAAACAGGAAGTTTGGGCTCACTGAAGAAAGGTTGCTGTCATATTCCTAAAGGCAAAAATGCAGTTCACACAGAAACACACATACAGTGATATATACACAAGCACACACACACACACACACACACACACACACACACACATTGAGATATATATAAATACGGATAAAAATGAAGTAAACCTAACTTGGATGTTTTCACCAAACATTGTATTTGCATTACAGTTTGAAATACAGCATGTTCCCTGTCTCAAAATATGCTTCTCATTCCTGTAAATTAAAGTGGAGGGCCTGGGATACTTGATGGAGTGATTGATTGACTGATTGATCATTTAAAAACACAATTTATCCTCTGTTGATCTTAAGCAAGGTGTAAGGCTTTATGCTAGATACTTAGTTGGGTCCAGAAAAGTTTGCAGGCAAGAAGGAGAGATGAGATAGATAGCTATGTGAATTATTTTGATAAAATACATACACTCCTATACCCCCGCCCCCCGATGTTATGTTAAGCCACCTGGACTCACCTCTGAGAAATACAACAACTTCGGAGAAATAAGGAAACAAAGATGAATGTGCAGAGCTAATAGCTGTTGACATTTGGAAATGCTGTGCCTGAGGCTCTGGAGAAGCTTTGTGTTAAACAGAAAAGTAGGTATATCGGTAGAAGAAATTTATTAGTGACTTTGAAACAATGAGGGAAAGATGCAGGATAAACTGAGCTCTGAGAAATGATCTGTGTTCACCCATAGGTTATCTCATGTGTCTGTGAGAAATCCTGGCCATGTCCACACTGTTACCATGCTAATCAGCATGAATCATTGACATGGATACAGTGTATGTTAAAACCTCAGAGCACAATTTTTCTGATGGAGTGGCAGAGGAAAGTCACTGCAGACAACAACTGCTTGTGTGGAACCCAAGAAATGCTAGTTTAGAAATCATCTCTAAGCAGGAAGGAGCTTTGCAGAAAGCCACAATAGACAAGACACAGAGAGTTATCAATGACGGTAATCATGATCCTGTTGTAAATAATCACACAAATACTCTGGAATTTAGTAAATACTGTGTTTCATGTTGTGAATTCTCCTATGATAGATTTGACTTTTTCTTCCTCTGTTATGAAGAAGTAGTGACGAAGTCAAACCCAAGCCTTCTGCCAAACAGATCCTGGGAGCATGAAGGAAGTTTTAAATGAAGTCTGGTAGTAGAACAGAGGGGGGAGGGGGCAGAAAAAGAGAAGATTCATGTTCCTCCAGTAGTTCTGTCTGGTGATAAATGTGCCAGGACTAAAAAGAGATACTATGAATAGGAGAAATTCTAACAGTCAGTAATAAGAAAGAGCTAGGAGGATAGCCTAGTGGTAATCACAGACAAGACTAGGGTCTACCATATTTCTAGAAGAATGGTTCTACAGGCCTAGGAAGAAAGGCCAGCTTTAGCTATCAACCAGTTCATACAGAGCATATCAACTCCACATTAAGAGCGCACACGCTGGGGAGAGACTGCCTGGGTGAAATGCTGGATTGTTTGCTTATGGGCTGTGTGCCTTTGGGCAAGTTACCTCCTATCTGCTATCCTGTGTTTCTTTACTTGTAAGTGGGGTGATCTCTCCACAGCAGTAAGAGTTTCATGAAGATGGAGTGAAATAATATGACATGATAAAGCCCTTAAAACAGTGTCAAATAATTATTAGTATATTAATTATTGAGTAAGTTTTAAAAGCTGTATATATATATATATATTTATATTTACACTCGAGAAAATAATCAACATTAACTTGGATATAATCTATGTGACTGAGCCATGTATCTTATGAATAAACAGATGTTTCTAAATATGCAGTATTTAATGTAATAGATTTTTTAAAAATTTAGATGTTTTCCATCATGGTAATTCCGTCAAATTTTCCCCAGTGACAGAGAACATTTTCTCATTTCCTATGAGCTAGAATCATTTATAATAACAAATCCGTGTTCTTGAAGACCTGAGAAACCATTGAACTCTTAAGAGGATACTGTTAAGGATACATCCTTAAGAGGATACCATTAAGGAAATTAATGAGGTGGTTCTTGATGCCATCAAGATGAAGTTTGAACTTAGCATTGTGTTCCTGGCCCTTTATAATCTAGGCTGATGTCTCCCTCATGCCTCATTGTTCACTCTCTTAGCCACCTACCGCTAACTACACATTCCAAATACTTTCATCTCTGGCTCTTGGTAAATGATATTTATACACTCTAGAATTTCACATGTTCCCTTCTCCACCTGCTGATGTTCAATCCTGTTTCCTAATCCACCTCAAGTAGCACTTCCGTGTGTATTGCAAAGGTTGCAAACTGACCTCAGATGGTTTTGTTTACATCCGTGCTATTTTTTTTTTTAATTTGAACGTGAATGCCTTTAAGCTGGAATGCAGTATCCAGTTTTCCAAACCTTCCCTATCCCTATTGTTTTACACACAGCTCAACTCATCCATTTATAGGGATTGCTTCATATTGTAAACATCTGAGTTGAAATTCTGGAAAATTCTTTTAAGCTCATTTCCCATTCCTCTTTCTGCAGAAAGAATTAAACACTGTATTCTTTGAGCTCTCATAAAATAGGTTCACACTTAGAATATTAAATGTGTACAGATCACATATGCCTTGAAATCCCAGAGGGCATGGCCGATGGATTATGCACATTTGTGTCCAAGCTCTTACATCATAGTAGGTGCTCAATAATTGCTTTCTGAAGTTAATTGAATTCCATGTGGTGTTTTAGAAGTTTTTATAGAAACAGTAAGATCATTTCAGGGCTGGACTGTTTTTTTTGTTTCTTTGTTTAACATGAGACTGTATTTTTCTCTCTTTAT